TTAAATAAAGAAAGAATATATCTTACTTTCTATTTTAATATATCCAATCCTTACTTTTCGATCAAGCAATCTTGGTTCAAATATTTATTAAAGATTTCAAATATTCAACATTGTTGGCTATACCCAAAAGATAAGCTAAGAAACAAAGGATAATTATCGCCCAATCTTGGAAAAGGATTGGGCTAAGAAACAAAGGATAAAAATAAAAATATTGTTTCATAATAGAGGCATAATACAACTGAAAAAATAGCAACAGAAAGCTAGAAGAGGCAATAACATTATAAGCAACCAAAATAAATAATAATAATAATAATAATAATATTAGTAATAAGTAATAATAAGTATTATTTTATTACTACATTTAAGTTTTATAATAAAAAATTAGATCTATTCAAGAATCTAAATTCTTAGTTGTTTCAATCTAATTGTGTTTCATGACCTATGAGAGAGAGATCAACCGCTTATTTTCTACATAAAAAAAAAATAGGGATTGTATACTAAGAGACCATTTATCTTTAGTACAATAAGGTTAGGATTAATCCTAGCCATTCAATGTCCAATTGAATAGCTTGGGATATGCCACGAAGTTCAAAAAAAATTATTGGGCTTTGAGTTTACTCACAAGTACACTTACAACCATTTGATTTGAAATTTGCTGGGCATTTGAAATTTGATGGGCAAGAATACTTGTGGCCTCCTTGTACTAAAAGTAAATGATCTCTTTATATACTTTTTCAAGAATCTAAATCCTTAGTTTTTTCAATCTGATTGAGTTTCACGACCTGTGAGAGAGAGATCAAACCACTTATTTTCTATATATAAAAAAAGCGTATTACAATTTGAAAAATATACTACCGTTTTATTACTTTGTTCAAGTTTATCATAAACAATTAGAACTATTCAAGAATCTAAATCCTTAATTTTTTTCAATCTATTTGAGTTTCAGAACATGTGAAAGCGAGATCAAAATACTTATTTTCTATATGTAAAAAAATCATATTATAATTTGAAAAAAAAAAGTTTATATAATGTTGCAACCTTAAAATGTAGAATTAAAGATGCACCTCAAAAAATCCATCGAAAAAGGTTTTTTTAATGTTGAAAAACCTTCTAATATCATCTTGACATCCAGATATATGGATATGAAAAAAAAAAAAATGATTTTGAGTATCTGAAATAGTGCATCTTACAACATATTATCCAGACCATCCATTTTCAAGAATTGTATAAGTTTATAGATCTACTTGGTTTTAACCAATTTTGGAGTTTAAAATTTTATAATTGGAGATGAAAATAGATTCTAAAATAATTCTAAGAATTTTTACACCAAAATTACATATTATGATAAGATTTCGAGGTGCACCTTAACTGGATTGTTTAAGGTTGCAAACTTATAGAAACCACACCCATTTGAAAAATATACTACATAGACATAGATTTAGAGGTACCTTCTATTTTTCTCTTAGGAAAATATTTTCAACCTAAAAAATCCTTGTGAGAGATCAGCAAAGAAATGAACTTGAGAGAGATAAATATATTGTTTTCTCATAGGATAAGGTGGACCATGATAGGCTTTTGGGCCAGGGCATGAGGGTTTAGACTGAGAGATGATGAAAGAGGTTTTTCCTAAAAAGGTATTTTGGGAGGGAGAGATTGAGAAAGAGATTAAATGAAAAAAAGATGAGTCAAATAGGGGAAATTTTATAGGCGAGATTTAATATGGGAGTTATCAGGTATTAATCGTAATTAGTGCAAGTTAGAAAAAATAAAAAAAAGTAGCACATAAAAAAAGGAGCTACATGGTAGGGAGAGAGAAATAATGAATTCCTTTATTATATTTTTTTGGAGTTACTGCAAGATAGAGAAAGTAAAAAGAGAGAGAGAGAGAGAGAGAGAGACTTTTGAGAGGGAAAGATTTTAGAAAAATAAATGGGAGAGAGACTTTATGAAAGAGGGAGAGATAGAAAAGATAGAGATGAGAGATTTTAATAAAACAAATGGGAGAGAGATTTATAAATAGGAGAGAGAGAGAGAGAGAAATGGGAGAGAAAAAAATAGTAGATGATATAAATAAGAGAGAATTTAATAAAGATGTAAGAGATTTAAGGAAATGTGTAAGAGGGAGAGAGACAAAGAGAAAATTGTGTGGGTTGGGGGGAAGAGATTTAGTGAGAAAGAAAACTTTGGAGGGTCGGTGATTTATTAGGAATGAGAAAAGATGGGACACATGGCACAAAATGGGAGGAAGATATTTAAAGAAAGGCGTAAGAAATAGAGGCGAGAAAATCTGGTGCGTGGGGGAGAGATTTATTAAGGAAGAGAAAAATAAGACATGTGGCACAAAAATAGGGGGGAGGGGAGACGGAAGAGAGGAAATTATGTAGGTAAGGGAACATATTTATTAAGGAAGAGAAAAAAATAGGAAACATGACACAAAATAGAGGGGGTATCTTTCGCGTTTAATATATAAATAGATAGATAGATAGATAAAAAGAAAGTATACGGTGAGAGGACTTTTGTAACATGGGATAAATTAGTCGGTGAGAAAACTTTTTCAATGGGTCCTATGTCCTATATAGTTGCAAGTCTCAATTTAAAATACGATTTTTTTAGAAAATCACTTTTTTCAAAAAAATATATAAAGAACTTCGAGTTTTTCAAAAGATTCAAAAAATCGTATTTTACTAATTAATCAAGTTATAGATTCATATTTTTTTGTTAAAATTTTTTTTCAAAAAAACTTCTTCCATATAACTTTATTTATTCATTAACTTAATATTATTGAATTTTGGTTTAAAGATATGCACATTAACAATGGACGTAAATTAAGAATTTTGATTTAACAAAAAAGTGTAGAAATTAGGAATATAAAACATAAGACCCACACCCAAGTTCCATAGTATTGCATCCGCTATCCCGATCATTAGTTTATTTTCTTACCCTAGAGGTAAATGAAGGAGCCTTCCTTTTTGAAGCCATTGTAGACAAGGAGGGATTCAAACCCCAAACACCGTGACTCGTAGCCACATGCTCTAATCCTTTGAGCTACAGGCCCCACTCGTCTCCACTGGACCTGTTCGTAGTAGTACTCTCTACATGGATACGAAAAAATACAAGCAAAATATTTCTCAAAAAATAAGATATCAAAATAATCATATATCTCAAAATAATATGTAGGTTTAGAAGAAGAGTAGCGCAACGAAAAATCCTTTTCTCTTTGAACCCACATCATTTTTGTATGCAGTGTGCTAGTGCGCTTGTGTTTTGGGGAACGAAGTGCACAATTGTACGGTGAATACTTGCACAACACTCATCATAGGTGTGGGTAACATTGGTACACTTTACCTATGAATAGTGCTCATTGCATGGCTTGTATTGTGCGTGGTGCGTTAGTGCGCAGTACATAAGACTATTGTTAGAAAAACCGGGCGATCTAACTGCTAACCTCCCTGTTAGATCAAAACCGACAAGTGGTCGGTTCTGGTTTCGGTGATCAACCAGTATTTAAAAAATTCAAAAAAATGTATATAAATTCTCGAAAATAAAGAATTTGGTTTGTAATGTATTTTTAATATGCTTTATATTATGGTAAAGATTAAAAATTGCTTTTGTCAATAATACTCACTTTAATTCAAAAATCAATTCGTTAAAATCTATTTTTTTTTCATTAATTTACAGCTTCATTTGAATGTGTTTTATTTTAATCATTCTTTATATGTTTTTCATATTTTAGTATATATTTTTTATATCTTTTTTTATTTTTTTAACACTTTTTTGACCACCCGGGACTTGCTCGATTAGAACGATTAAATCGACCGGTTTACCAATTATACTGCTTCCTCGCCCATGTATGGTTAATCATTTCGGTTCGATTTTACGAACGCCGCATAAGACTAAGTACCAAGCACACCTAAGCAATACTTTGTGTGCTTGTGTTTTGGGGAACAAAGAGCGCAATTGCATGTTGAATAAGTGCACAGCATCATAGATGTGGGTAACATTGTTGCACTTTACCTATGAATAGCTCTCATTGTGTGGCTTGTATTGTGCAGGATGCGCTAGTACGTAGTACACGCGATTTTACCAAATCCAAAATCATTTTTTACCAAAATTTCTCCTACCCTTAGTTAGCCGACATATTATTATTTCCAGACTTGCTAACTATAGTCCTATGCGTTATATCTTTCGTATAGATTAATTCTTCCTGTGGGGTAACCATGTTGATTTGTTCACGTGAAAATGACAACCACTCTTGATTTCTCATTTACTTATCAAAAGGTACGCGGGAAACAAGAAAACACTAGAATCGTATAGAAAGGCGAAAAAGTACAAGGACGAAAAAAGAGGAAAAAGATGGTGAAAACATGGGTAACTAATAAATATTATTCCCTTTACAAGGCAAAACAGATTACTTTCCAGCCATTAAAGCACTAACTTTCGGCGCACCGCAAATCATGTCATATTATTATCAAAACTTTACTCGTGTAAGTAAAGGGTAAGGGCCAAATCCTCACTAACTTTTTTATTTATATTTATATTTATATTTTTTATTTTTTAAAAATAGCTTAAGCTTTAACGATAGTATTGTCAAACCCCACGATGAAGTCTCGAACTCTATTCTTATCAAAAAATAGGGGTCAAATCCCACTAATTTACCATTTATTTAAAAATAGGGTTGGGTTGTGGAGATAGCATCCCCTGTGCCCCAACTAAGTTTTAGGTTTCAAATCTTACTTAATGTATTAAAAAATCACTAACAATTTCAAAAAACTGAAGCATTCAAAAACTACTAACGATTTCAAAAAACGAATACAGATAGGGGCTCGTCATTCCCACTTAATTATCCAAAAACCAAAAAAAAAGTTTATTGTTAAGGCACTTTTGGTTTTTCTGAAAGACACCTTCTCGAATGATAATCTAACGAAAGAACAAACACGCCTCTAAAGAGAGAGACGGAGACTATGTTAATGAATTATGAGTTTAGAGAGAGAGAAAGGAGAGAAGAGAAGATATGGTTCTTTGTAGTGAGAGAGGAAAATTACAATAACTTAGAGAGAGAGAGAGAGAGAGAGAGAGAGAGAGATTAATCACAAGAAGTCGTGTCTAAGGTAGGTCTACTAGGTGTAACCTTGCTTGTATCTAGAGAAGAGCTGATCAGTCTTGGCATTTCTAAAGGCACAGCAGCCCATGAGATAGACGAGGATGAGGGCAATGAGTGTTAGAAAGAGGATGAGGTCCGCCTTTCTCCACTCGCTCTTGAGGTTGGCCAAGAGTCCGGCCTTGCAGGAGTCACATGAGTAGCAGAGCTGGGTTTGGTCGTTGGTCCATTGAGCACAGTCCAATTCTGCGGCGTTGTTGATGGGGCTGATCCAGTATGTGGGGTTCACAAATGTGTACCCACATTCTGTAGGAGGCTTGCAGCATCCAGACTACACCATGCGTCAATTATATAACTGCTTAACCACCTCAGAAATCATTTATTTCTCTTTTCGAAATGATTTTAGCATATTTGCCTCTTTATTTATTACGGTTAAGAAACTCGTCTCGGCCAAGGTCCTCCGCCTTTTGGCTGAGGAGTCACTTACCGCCAACAAAAAGTTCAACCATATGGAAAAAAAAATTTAATAGTTAAAAATAAGAAAAATAAAAGAGGAAGTAGAAAGAAAAAATCCATGAAATATGGATTATGGACGATTCGTATTTACATTTTGACTATTTTAGAAAAAATTAAAAAGGAAAAAACACAAAATTCTCAAATCATCTTAAAAGTTATCAAAATCATCTAAAACTTATTTCTAAGAAATAGAGTGGAATTTTCCAATTTTTCTGCTTCTTGCTATTTTTTATATATCTTTCAGTATTTATAAGGGTGGGGCTATTTTTTATATATCTTTCAGTATTTATAAGGGTGGGGCTATTTGCCGTGTGGTCTCGGGTGAGTCACGAAACGCTGTTGTAAAGGGTGTAGTTTACATAATGTGTTAATTATAAATTATCAATGTAAGGTGCATTTCTAGACCATGCCTTGAGATGTAGTTTCGATGTTGAAAACTTCTATGGAGGTTTGGAAATTTGTTTTATCTCTAATTTATGCAATGCAAAGATTAAAAAATAGTACAGATCCAGCGAATCTACCAATACTTAAGTATCTTGAAAATGGATAGTAGAGATACTATATTACAAGATGTACTATTTCTAAGAATTAAAATCTATTTTTTTTTTCTTTTTTTTTATTAAATATCCATATATTTCAAGGTCGAGATGGTCATTTAGAAGTTTTCTAGTGTCAAAACAATATTTTTAAATAATTTTGGAATTGCACCTTACTATTACAATATAAGGGTGATGCCTTATTTAAACTTTTTTTTATTATAAATTATTATTTTTATTTTGAACCTCTTCTTCAACAGAAAGAGAAACTAGGATGATCAGGGAAGAGGAGGAAAGGCCCAATATTCAATAGATTTCTTTGAAAATCTTGAAACAAAAAAAAATAAAAAAAAGGAAAAAGTACTCAAGAAAAGGAAAAAAAAAAAAAAGAAGTCTAAAGTACATTTTATAGTTTTATCTCAATTTCTCAACAAATATGACAATATGTTCATTTTTAAACAAACAACTGAATAACGTGTGTAGAAGAAATATTTGGGCGTGAAAGAAAATTTTTAATATTGAAATATGTTTCAAGATTTTAGAAAATAATTATATTGTCAGTTTGCTCTAATCTAACTCGGACAAGCATGCACGTCAGTTAGCAAGGCATTAAAAAAAACATGGAAAATTGGGTCTTAAAAATACACTAGACACAAATAAAATAGCATACCAGATGGCTATGAGTTTCTAATACAAATATGTTATGAATATAGAGAAAATCTATGTCACACGTAAAACAAATTAATTTCCTGATTTTCTCTTTATTTTTAAAATTTCTAATTTTTGAAAATTCTGTATGTGTTAGTTTCTTAAACGATCAGATATACTTTAAGGAATTTCTCATAAACAACAAGACGACCTCACAGGAAATTGCGCAGCCAAGAAATTTCAAAAAATGAAATATATAGCTGATGAATGTTCCTAGTGTCTAACGGGCAGGAAATTACAGGAAAAAATGTTTAAAAAAAGGGACCATATTTATACCTTCAAAGGGGTGATCACAAGTTGGATGTCCTATGTCATTTCTTTTTCTTACTATTCTATATTTGTCATGCAATTTTTCATTTTAATAATATATTTGTCAGCAATTTTTTTATCAATGTATAGAAAATTGACAAGGCCAAGGTATTCAGCCCTCGGTGGAGCCTAGTAACTCGGTCTAATCCTGATGAGTGATGGGCTGAAAACCCCTTAATATAATAAAAAATGACAAAAAAATTCAAAAATTAAGGAAAATATACTAAAAGCAAAATAAATAAAAAAACCTTAAGGAGCCCAAATAAGCTTTAAAAAGTAACAAATGTATTCAGAAAAAACAGATTTACAGTTGGAGGCATTTTAAAAATCTCTAAAAGATAAAATATAAAAATAGGGATTTTTGGCAAAAAAAATTCACAAATCTTTGCCGAAAACATATGCAGCAAAAAAAAAAGTGATAGATTAATCCTACATTTTTATTACTTTTAGAATTATGTTCATTTTTTTTAATATCCCCAAGTTATACAACAACTCACGAAACTCGTCCTCGCCCATAGGGCACTCGACCGAATCTTGGGAAACTGGTTTTTATTGTCAAAATTTATACTATTTCTCATGAGAATCATAGTTCTAGATAAGAAAACAAGTTGCAATAAAACTATATTCCTTGCTCTAAGTTCTTTTCTTCCTCTCCAAGTGAGGTCAACGTGTGTTTCTAGTTTTACCAAACTAAGTTATCAAAAAATAAACTAAGTTATCAAGTTATGGCTCCACTATATGATAGAAAAAACCACCTCCATACTAAAAATCCTTTGGTAAAAGAAAAGAAGAACAAAATTACCTGCAAAGGGTTAAGGGGTGAATTGAAGAAATCCTGTGCAAAATGATAACTTTGATTCAGCTCTGCACAAAAATTAGAGGAACTAAGGCAGTTTCTGATCCTATCCCACTTGAATGGACCCTGAACCCTCATCCTGAGCCATCCTGAGTAATCTTCGAGCCTATACTCCAAGTAGGCTCGACTCGGGACCAGGTGACCTTCCCCCTTATCTGTGACCATGTATGTAAAGACCACGAGAGCCACGAGAAGAGCTATGAGGATGAGCATGGCCACTAAGTAGAAGAGAAGAAGCCATTGAACTCGCCAAAATGCTCCGACAAAACCGGCAAGGGCAACTATGAGGACTAGGATGCCAAGAATGATCACCGGCCATTGTAGGAGCTTTACGCAGGCGTTGTCCGGTTCTGTGGCCAGCCATATTCCAGTGCCGATAATTGGAATGGATAGGAGCATCGCTGCGAAATTGATGGCCGCGATAACATTGTTGCTCATAGCCATTTTCTTGGGGAGCACTTGAAGATGGCAGTTTTAGTTGTCAATTAGGGTTTCAATTGTGGTTTGTGTGGTGAAATTGATAGAAAGAGATGGTGTAGAGGTGATGAATCTTGTCTGAGAGAGAGATGGTGTTGTTGTTTACCTTTGAGCCTGTGAGCAACGCAGGCACAAAAGTGCTGCTTGGATGGCTATTTTGGGTATGAAGAAATTGCTTGGTGGTTATGGGGTGGCAAATGTTCCTTGGAGCCTACACTGTTGGATTCCCCCCACCATCTTCTCCTTTCTTCTCTATCTTTTGCTTTTTCTTTTTCTAAAACTTTTTCTTTTTTTTTCCCTAAGTAATCTTTTCATAGGGATTTGGGCCCATGGCCATGTGATGTGGTGGACTAATGGTGAATTTGAACCGGGAATTACGGAAAATTCTCTACCCTTATGCAATAAAATGCTATTTTCTCGTCATATCCTAGGTTTGAATCCTATAGGTATGAACTATCAATTAAGAGTAGGGATCATATACAATGAGATTATGGTACAAGGAGGTTAAAGTTATTTGTAGCCATCAATGTGAAATACGATAGGTTGGGTATGTCGTAAAGTACGAGAAAATTTCTTTTGATTTTGAGCTTGGTCAATAGAATAAATGCAACCGTTCAATTTCACATCTAATGGTCAAGATTAATTGTAAGCACCTTGTACTTAAGGTAAATGGTCTCATTGTATACTTCTAAGAAAACTTGTTTCATGCAGGCTGGACTGTACTTCTACAATATGCGGTCCAAAGGTATAACGCATCCATCTTAAAGATGAATGCAAATAGGTAGTCCATCTAAAAACAATTGTAATTAACGGTCCAAATGTTTTCTTGATATAAATATTATTTTTATTTATAAAAATTTATTTATTTTTTTATATCCATGATCTCCATATTAAAGATTATATATTTTTTAAAAATTAGAATCAATTTATATTTAAAAATATATTTGTTGCCAAGCCCGCATTTCTACAATATGCGGGCTGGCCACATAGAAACCGTGTCCTTCTTCTAAAAAAAAATAAAAGGAAAATGCTGACATAGGCCCACTAGCCTACAGCTACATATGTGCCCAATGGATCTGGGCCGATCTAATGATCACGATTGTATTTTATATTTTAATTTTATTTATTTTTATATAAATTCAAATTACATGAAATTTTAGATGTGTGTTTATACAAATGGAACAATCCAATAAAAGTATCAAAAAAATAATTATCCTAAAAAAAATTTAGGAGTATTTTGATCAATTTATGTTTTACAGTTTTTTTTGTTAATATTTTTGTTACATGCTCCTTGATGATAAGAATAGATACCCAAACATTTCACGTGATTTGAATTTGTAGAAAATAATTAAAATTCAAATGCGAAATGAGGTTGTGTCCGTCAGATGGGCTTATATGTAACTGTAGACTAATGGGCCTATACCAGCATTTTTCAAATATAAATGATATTTCATCGAGTCCACACATGTAAAAAAGGTTTCATCAAGAAACCTTCCCCACTCAACTACCAAAAAGAAATTCATCTCTTACTAATTGACCTTACGAGACAAGCATACCCTCATTTTAATTTGAGGTAAAACGACCATATTCAAATGATTGAGAGCTTTGATATAGAAAGATCATTAATATTTTTCTAGGCAACTCCAATATTGAAAGAAGCTATAAAATGCGGAACCACATTGTATTCTTATTCTATTGTGGATGCAGTTTCTATAAGGCCTAAGTTTTATGAAAACAATGTAAAGGTTCACTTCTAATCCTCATCCGAAAAGCAATTTAGGTATTGGAAATCTCCATGATGGCTCTAAATTCAATTTCTAATATGAAATGTAGAATGTGAAGCTAAAAAACAACGTATAATTTTTTCAAATATATAAACACTTATTTTTAGGGCGAAATAGACGGTCAAGACAAAGTGTTGCAGTATACACTATCTTTAAGGCTTGAAATCTTAATTTTTTTTGACAACCATAAAGATCAAGGCCGTGATGATCGATTTGAAGGTTTTTTAACACCAAAACTACAATTTTTAGTGAGTTTTGAGGAGAGACTTTACTTAATTTAATAGGGTTGCAGCCCTATCCGATCATTTTCCTTCTATTATTCATCGTGACTAGGAAACAATAGAGAAGCTGTAGTGCATCGATTGACAACAAATGTAACGAGTGAAACACTGTTGGTGTCAAGCTTTCTGTAATCAATCGTAAATGCCATGCCGTTTGGAATAGGAATAAGCATTTGTATCCTTTTCACGGACACCTCTTGCAAACTCTACATTTGGATACGAATATAGTGCCCATGAAACCACTATAATTTAAAGGAAAATGTTCATAGAAAGTACCAATCTTAAAATGTAGAATTACGGTGTACCTTAAGAAATCTATGGGAAAAGGCTGTTTTAATGTTGGGAATTTTTTTAAATGATCATCTTGCAATAGATTATCTCAACTGTTCATTTTCAAGATTTTTATGTGTTTATAGATATATTTGATTTGAATCATTTTTTAAACTTAAAATTTTATAATTAGATATGAAAATGGATTCTTATGCCATCTTAAAAAAAAATTACACCAAAATTATATCTTATACGAAGTGCAACTTAATTTGATTGTTTAAAATTGCAACTTCATCCCAAGCACACCCTAATATAAAAATTAAATATTATTCTTATTATTTTTTTTCATATTTTAAAATCTCGCAAAATGCATCATTGATTGTAGCTCTTGAAGAAGAGACATTCTTTATGCCTTTTTAGAAAAGCAATTGAATATTATCATGTTCGATAAAGTCATCTTAGTGAGTAAGGCTGGATGCCCGGACAACCTGTCGAGTCCAAAACGATAGACCCGACCCGAATGCCACCCCTCAACGTATTATTAATTTTGCTAGGTATACGGATGGAAACGTAGTCTTACCTAGACTCACATTCTTCAATTCGGTAGCTGGTGTCAATATGTGGCGACACTTATTGCCATGTAGAGTAGACATTCTATTCAGAAGTAACAAATCGAGGAAGCTACACATGTGCTTAATAAAGCTGTCGATACTTTTGACATGAAACACCTTTAAGCGAATGACCATTAGCGCACATAATTTGAAATTTTTATTTTTTGTAGCCATGATAATATGTGCTATTCGCAAAACAAAAAATAGTTCTAATTTTTTTGAAATAATACTGTTTTTATATTTCTTATTTTTGTATTTCTATAT